CAGGCGCTGGGTGATGGTCCCATGATCAGTGGGGCAGGGCCTGTCCTGACCTGTCCTGCAGCCGGGGTGCTGAGGGCTCCCCGCTCCCCTCTCTCGGGGTAGGCAAGGGTCTCCAGGCCTGTACCTGTGGCTGCAGAGCCACCTGTACCCTGGTGTCTCTCTTTGTCCCCAGGTGTCCCCGAGAAAGTGGGGCTCTACTTCCTCTGCGGGGTCTCGGGAGGCCTCATGCTGCTGCTGTGCATCATCAGCCCCAAAGCCGCCTTCCTCCAGGAGGTGGGGGCAGCTCTCAAGGACGCGGAGCTGGGGAGCAGCTCGGAGCTGAGCAGGGCCAAGCTGCGGGACGAGCAGGACGAGGACCTCCCCGACGACAGCTCCTCGGACTCCTCCTTCCGCCGCCTCACCCGCACCTACCGGGCCACCGACAGCATCTTCGGCCCCGAGCTGACGGCGGCCTTGGAGGGGGCGGTGGAGCAGGCGGGCCGCAGTGGGGATGAGATCTGGATGCCCAAGGAGTCGAGCCCGTATGCCATCCACAAGATCAAGTCGGCCACCAAATAAGAACCGTGAGAAAGCGATTGGGGAGCAGCGAGAGGTGGAGTGGGGTCTGACATGGTAGAAACATGGGAGCTCCTTGGGGTGAGCGGGCTTCCCAGGTGGCAGCAGGGCCACGGCAGCCACAGTGTGGCCATGAAACCACGTCTCCGCCTGCCTGGAAACCCCGAACCCGGGTACTGTACCCCCTGGCTGCAAGGAGGGGCTGCGGGGTGGTTTGTGGGGCTGCGGGCGCCTTTGCCATAAGCACACCCCTAACCTGCGCTAACGTCCCCATCGGTGGCATCAGCCACGCCGAGCCCCCAGACCCTTTGCTCCCTGTCCTTTTAGGTGCCGGTTTCCACCCCTGCTGCTGCAGGCACCCTCAGCGCCCAAGCAGCCTGCGGGCAGGGGGGATGCCGAAACGGCCGGGACAAGGGGAGGATGCAGGCGGAGCAGGTGAAGAGCATCGCCCTGCGTCCTTCCATGCTGTCACCCTGCGCTGTGCCTGCCTTCATGCTGCCCCGCTGCCAGGGCAGCCCCGGGGTTTGCTTGCTGGGGCTTCTTCCAGTAAATAAACGCAGCCACTCGCAGACTCAACGTCCCTCCCTGACTCCTGCTGTTCCTACTGAAATGGGGGAAAGGAAGCAGCAAAGCTCAGCCCTGCCTGTGCAGATCCGCTCCTCGCCTCCCGCCCGCGTTTCTGGCACCGGGCAATGGGGAGCAACAAGTTGGGCCTGTTTTGGCATGGGAAAGGATAAAGTTTTAGCCTGGGGAAGGGAAAGGGGGAGAAGCCATCCGTGTGGATCTGGGAACGGTGCTGCCCTGCCCCTGCTCCTGGGCCCAAGGCTGCCTGTGACCAGCGGTCCTGGAGACAGCTGAGGGATGTGGGGTTTACTGAGGGTTGCCAGAGCCCAAGGATGGTTTGGGGGGGCTCTCGCCTGAAACCAGCCCCAACATCACTAGATGATGACGGGACTGGGACCACAGACACCACCGTCCTTGGGCAGCTGGCACCCTAATGCTGCAGACCCACAGTGCTCACCTCGCAGGGCTCTCCTCTTGCTCCCTCCATCTTTCCCTCAGTGCCCCCCAAAATGCCGAGTGGGATTTTGGCAGATGTGGTGCAAGCTGCAGCCGCTGCAGCGGGACCAGGTTTCCTGAGAGCCTCCCAGGGAGCACCATGGGGACTGGAAAAGCCGGCTTCCCCTGCCCTGCCCAGGCAGACACAGGCCCACGGCAGGCAGTGCGCCCGAGCCCCTGCAGGCAGGCTGGGATGGGATGGGGCTTTTGGCTGGGGATCTCATCCCACAGGACGATGCACGACGTTTCCATTGGCGGTGGGGTGCATCCCAGCTCTGCCTGGCGAGTGTGCACCCGACTCGTGTTTTTGGCTGGAGTGCGAACTGTGAGAGGCTGACACTGCATCCCACGAGGATCCCAGGCTGATGGTGACGCTCAGGGAGCTCCCAGGCCAGGGACAGGAGCTGAGGCTGCACAAGGCAAGTTGCCATAGCTCCTTCAGTGCCAGTCCGTGCTCTGAAAACCCGCAGAGCAGCGGTGACACAGCAAGCACCCCTGCCATGAGCTTGGAACGATCATACGATTGACACAGGAAAAGTGGGTGGCTTTTCCAACACTCATTTACCAAGGAACAAAGGAAGCTGCAGGTACAGAGAGTCCCACATGTACCTTCCCCATCACATGAGATTTGACGACCAGCCAACCACTTTATTCCATAAACTAGACAGCCTGAGCGAGCCTTTTCTGAGCACTCCCTGCCAGGCAGGGCGGCTGCCCGGTGGTGATCTCCTGAACTGGGACACCCTTGAGGTTGGCTCCTCCAGGCTGAGATCTTCCACAGCGGCAGCTCTGACTGTGCCTTGGTGACTTTGGGTATGCCTTGGCAGTTTGGAGTCACTGTTCAAACGATCGTGCAGTGCAGTAACAAAGCAAACCCCAGTATCAGACTTCCTAAACCTCACTCTTAGGATAAGTTAAAACGGCTTTTGCTGGTACCTCTGTTCCTTAAGCAACCTAAACCGTCCATTTGCGACACCAGGTCACAGGAGCTCCACGGCCAGCCCAGGGTACAGCCTGGTGAGAAGGGGCAGCCTCGGTGTCCGGGGGGCAAAAGGGGTAACCCACAGCCCCGGCTGCGGGCGGGGGCAGCAGGCAGGGATTGAGGCCCCTGCTGGG